TATAGAACTTTAAAAAACTGCACTGGATTATTTACATAACGGCAAAAGAATGCTTTCGTGGGAGACTTTTTATGATACCCGCGGAAAAACATCTCGGAAGGAAACGTCTCGGAGAAAACATTTCAAGGACAAAATATCATGAAAGAAAAGAAAGCAAAGACAAAGCATTCGCAGTTCTAAAACATCGTGGCAGAAAATAAAGCGGTGCAAAAACTTCGCAGTTTCAAAACATCGTTGCACAAAATATCGAGGTTAAGAACAAAGTACTTATAAACAAATGCATGATGATAACATTACAGACATGCTTTTTCCTACTATAAAATTTTTTAATTAATTTTATAATGATTTGCGAACACAAGAGGAAATATTAGTTTCATATCTATAATTCGAATTTTTGTATTATACTAAAAATGCAAAAATGGGAACTTTTGCATTAAATATCTGAAAATCAGTTAAAATTGACGCTACGTATATTAATTAGTAGAATTTTAAACTTGTTTTGCCAACTAATAAAAGTCAATACATAAATATTCTCTTTTATACAGTTGTATGAATAAATATTCATGAGAAAATATAGTATAAAAAGGATAAGGAAGATAAAGGAACATAAGATTAAAATTCTATTAACTGGCTACAAATAGCATTAATTTTTACTAATTTTCAGGTTTTGGGATGTTTTAGATTCCTGGTTTGTTTTTCAGTAAATATTTATTCGTTAATAGAAAAATATGAAATGCGGATTTAACAGTTCTACGCAATTCTTCTTATTCTTTTAAATATGCGAAATTCACCTCAAATTTTTATATTCCGGAAACGCATATCAGAGATATTATCATCATACTATGATTCGCAGAAACATTGTTTCTTTGACAATGTTATTTTGAACCACAATGTTTTAAAACTGCGAAATTTTTTCACCGCTTTTAGTTGACTACGAAGATGTTTTAGAATTACATTGTTTTTCCTTGCTTTTTTTTCCTCCCACGATGTTTTGTCCGACAACTTGTTTTCCTTGTGTTGTTTTCTCCGTGGCGTTTTTGTCCGTGACTTTTTTGCTGCGATGTTTTCATCTTCAACACCTTTTAAGAGAAACTGTTTAGTATTTTAATTAAACACGGGGAAAACCGAGACATCTCCCATACAGAATGCCCGTTTCGCGAGATAGGAATCTGGATTAACTACTAGTATTCAGCAATTTTATCATCTGACTGCTGCTGGGTCAGAATAAGAGTGGCATTGCTTGTTTATTTGGATACAGCAAAGCACACGAGGTCTCGGTTAGTGCATAAATTAACAACACTTTCTTATGAGTTAGTTTCTTATGAGTTAGAACTGTAACGCCAAGAGTTCGTTTGACGTTATTACATTGTTATTACTTTCTATGTAATTTTGTGTTCATAAAATGACTCATATTTCATAAAATTTTGAGCATAGTTTATCTATTTTTTAGATGGAGCAACAGGAAGCATCAATAGCTCAAAGTTTGACATTTCTGGCACATTCTACACTTTAAGCATGGATTAAGGCAGCAGAGCAGACAAAAGCAATTTGTGATGCAAATGGGACTATGCCATGACTGAAATTACACCAAAGAAATGGTTATTTTAATTTATGGGATCATTTTAATTGATGATTCACATTTTGGACGTCTATCAGATTTTGATGATGATAGCTCAAGTCGTTAATATCAAGTCCCTGTCAAACAACGAGGGAATTGACATAACTTACTGAATGTGAGCATTCAACTATTGAGTGCCATTTTCATTCGATGAGTAAGATACAATCTATAACAAAATGTTACGAATGTTCGCACACTTTCAGTGCTTAAAAGGAGAGTTGTTTTCATGGTAAAACTTATGTAAGGTAGGGTTTACCAATCTGGTGAATTCTGCGACACCCTTGGAAACATTGCAGCAACTTTCTCAGATTCTTTTTATATATTTTAAAAACTGAAGTGAAGTGTGTTATTAGAAGCAAGCTAAATTTTGATTAAAATAAATGTCTACTCCAGTATTAATTTTATTCATTTTCTGAAATATATTGTAAAAGAAGAAACAAAATAGTAGTTATAATAGCATATTTTTACTAGAGTATAAATCATTGAAAAAAAGCTTTATTTGCTAATATGAAAGTTGCAAATAATACCTATAAACTAAATATTTGGTATCGGGACTTGCAGTTGACAGCGGAATTCTTATATCATCCTCAAGTTTATTTTCTACTCTGATCTTTGCTGTTCGCAAAGTACAGACAGCTTGCTTGCTAAAATATGAATATGAGAAAGGCGACTGATGCGACTTAAACAAGAGGCCTAAATAACATATATTTTTTTTTTATCTCCGAAATATCTTGCAGCACTTCTAGGACAATCTCCCGACATCCTAAGATGCCTCGGGCACACTGATGAATCAACGATTTAAGGAACCAACGATCTTGAGAATTAACGATCTACGGGAAATTGGGTCATATTTGAAAACACGGGGAAGGAGAGCCATTTGTGTCCATTGAAAGAAATTTTGAGAAAAATGAATTTTTAGCTTGTGTAACTTCATTATATAAAATAGAAGAGAAACGAATTTTCACTTTCTTAGGTGACTAAAATACTTTCTCGACGGTTTCATCTGATGTTAATCTTGGGAATACACATCTTCGCTGTAGGCCCACCAGCGGCCGAGCGGTAACGTGGCTAAACACTGGTAGTTCGGTCCGAGGTTCGAATCCCGCGAACGGGCTGGCTGCATGGGTGTTTTCGTGGTTTTCCCCATGTGTAACGTGTATACGAGCCAGTTTCCCTTAGAAAGTCCTCCACGAAGGCATCCCTCCCTTAAGGCAGATAGCCCTCGAGTGCTTTGCCGTAATCTAATAAACCAAACCAAACCATCTTCGCTGTCATAATTGGCTCTTCCTGAATTCAAGTTCTTTTTCCTTCATTTCGATTTTCAAATCTTAAATTAGGTTTTGTTCATTTGTGGTTTATCAAGTTTTTCCGATTTTTTTGGCAAGCGTTTCTGATATCAAAGTGTGTTTTTACAGTATCACAAAGGTTGCAAGTGTCCTTTCTTGGGTAACCTATCGATGTTGCACTTAGAATTAAAAGTGTGTCTGAATTTATCATGTGGCATTTGATTGTTATGATGTTTATTTTATGCATGCCGTGTAGTTTTGTTATGGTTAACATTTCCAGCGGGTCTATTTTTTAGTCTTTTTTGAAGGAATAAATGAAACTTTCTTCCCTTCAGGGACCTGATAAGCTCGATTATTTTACAGTTTCATCAGGAAATGCATGTTTTCGATTTGTATATGGTCTACCGGTGCTTTTATGTCAATGACCAATATCACATCAAGGAAACTAATCAAATAAATTTTGAAATAAAAGGAAAAAATTGCTTTTACATTCAGGTCCTAACTCGCATAAAAATAAACTTAAACTAATATCTCACGCTTCTAAATCTTCCATACAGCGTAGATTCCTGTTTTTTATCTCTTCGTGGCAGAGAACTCGGCGACTGGAACGGGGCCTGGACTAGAATTTCCATTCCATGTTCACAAGCACTGCTAAAAACTGATGGACGAAACCAACAGGTTATCGTTACAAGAGGCAAGTACTATAAACAAGAATTAGTCTGGATAAAGAATGTTACACAAATTCTTCTTCCTTCTTGTTACATGTACAAATTTGTTTTTCCTAGTACGCAAGATATTTCTTTGGTTACTACGGATATGAATACGTTTTCGCCTGAAGTAATTCATAACGTAGAAGCTATTCCCCTTGTCCGCTAGATGACATTATTACTTTAGTTTACTCTAAAAAATGGGCGTATGGGCATAAATGGGTTTTCCTCCTGGGTCATTTATGTTAGACATGTGAGAAAACAAAGGGTTGAAATTTACCGAAATATTTCGCATGTTTTAGCTGAGCCTTTCGGATAGATTCGAACTACCCGTATTCAGGCGTCCTTGCCTCTCTGACACTCTTTGGATCAAGATCTATAATTAAAATAATTAACAGACAGATTTCGGTAAACGGGGAGAGATTAAAAGAATTGTAATTCATCAGATAAAAAAGACTTTTGGACTATGTTAGTAAAGTTGAACGAATGGTTAAGGAACAAAACAAATAGCTAGTTATAATAGAATATATACTCAGTTTTACTTTTTTTTATTAATATCGCGTCGCAGAATGATTAAATTCTCTAAATACTGGAAGTTAGACTCCAGCTCCAACTCAAGTAAACGTGTGGCTGCATGTAGATTTTCGTGATTTTCCCATGTGTAACGTGAGCCAGTTTCAATAAAAAAGTCCATGAAGGCATCTCTTTCCTTAGGCAGATAACCTTCGTTTGCTTTGAAATATTCAAACAACATAATAACCTTATTGAATATACTTCTATGTGCTTTTAATGCGTCTTTAGATTCGTTTTCGAAAAATTTCAGTCCGTGTATACATATGTAAAACATTTTTGACGGAACTCTTACGATGTTTAAAAAGATGTCTTAAGCAGTTAAAGGGTTAATGTCAAATTTTAATGCTCTCTTTGTCTAGCTAAGTTGCGTATATTAAAGCAAAACTGAGAAGGTGTTCAAGAAAGTACTCAAGAGCTGAAATATGAAATAATTCTTAGATTATAAGTTGACTCTACTGAATTTTGAACTGTCGACGCTGACTTTTATCTTATGGCTCATTAAACTATAAATGTTGCTTTTCGTTTCCTCTTCATCTGTACTTGAAGAAGATTAACCATTACAGGCACAAGCTAGGGAAATTAGTTGGTAAAATATATCTCAATTAGCTCAGTTACCGAAATATTTTAAAACTGTTTTAGACAATTAGCATTAACATTTCCACCACGTCTATTTTGATTTGAAGTATCTGAGAAGCAATGTGTACAAACTGCTTCTTCAATATCACTGGGTTGCCGGGAGCCAGAGAGCCTTAAACCTAAGACTAGGCATTAATTAGAACCAATTTAAGAATGTATTTAACTGCAGAAATTTCTTACCTGGCCAATTCTCTGCTATACCTCCGAAGCGCAGGGTCTTGAGACTTAGTGCTTACACCTAAGGTGTTTACAGAGGTGTCTCTGAGAGGGATGTGATCTAAGTCATCTGCGCGAAGTCTCATGTCCGTCAATGAAGACCTCCTGGGGTAGGTGGAGCCCCGGATGAGTGACGAACTTCGTGTGTAGGGAGAAGAGCTGTACAATCCGTCCGTTCGCAGATGATCGTCGATGGATTCGAACTCGAAAGACTTGAAGGGCATCGTGCTTGTTGGCTGGTAAAGCTTGTATCTGGACAGTGGATCATCCTACGAAAAATAGTATACAAATACAGAAGTTAAGATCGCGAAATATGAAATTACATGTGTAGGGTCATTAGGTATTTTGAAGCAGGAGACGTGAAACATGAGCAATGCCCTCGCCTGGACTCGAAACATGGACCTCTCGAATGCGCGCCGAGTGTCCTGACCACTACACCACGAAGGCATGCTAAGAAGGCGAAAAATATACCTTATAAATCTATGACAGTGTATCAACTGTAACAAAATTACGAGGAAGCCAACTAGTGCAAGAACTTCAATGTACGTATTTCAAGAACGAGGGTGAAACATTTATATGATAAAAGTTTTAAATCCCGTCTATATATTCGTGTATATACACTATATATACTGTTTTAAATCACGTCACATTCTGAAATAGACAGTTCTGTGTCAAGTGTTGTGTTGTAGTATTTCTATAAAGCGTGCCATGAGCGTTGTGTTAAAAGATTTTTGGAATGTTGCAACAAAATGTTATTTGAACAGCTGGCAGAACATTCGGCACAATTTCTGTACACTATAACTCTATAACGGACAGTAGCATAC